GGGCCCTGCCCATGAAAGCTTACAATATAAAAGGTAGGGGCAAGTGATACAAAAGGTGGTCTCAATACTGCTTTTGGCTGTTCAAGAAAATGTATTTTAATATGCTAATAAAATCTTAATGTGTTACACCAATTTTGCTATGAAGTGCAAGACATTTTCGCTGACACTTTAACAATACAATATAACCTGTATAATGTGAAAATGTGGCAGCTTAAAGCTGTCACACACATTAGACACAAATGAATGCATTTTTGTATTCACTCATACAAGGCATTTTTAAAATGTAATTAGTTTAAGTATCTGAATATGACATAGAATCAGCCATATGCAAACCCTAAATAGCAGGTATAGTGAGAGAGGAAGAAGAAACACAAGAATCTGTTTTATGTGCTGACAACGGGCATGTTACAAAGCCGTCCACAACTCTGCCCCCGGCTATATCTCAAACCTGGTCTCAAAGTATCACCCTAACCGTCGGCTCCGCTCATCCCAAGACCTCCTGCTTTCCAGCTCCCTTGTCAACTCCTCCCATGCTTGCCTCAAGGACTTCTCTAGAGTCTCTCCCATCCTCTGGAATTCTTTACCCCAACCTGTCCGTCTGTCGCCCACCTTGACTGCCTTTAGGCGATCTCTAAAGACTCATCTCTTCAGGGAAGCTTATCCCACCTCAACCTAACCGCTCAACCATCAGGTTCTCAAACAATTCATCCCCACGAAGCTCCCTCCTCATGTATCACTTCCCCATCCCTTTTAGATTGTAAGCCCTCAGGGGCAGGGCCCTCCTTACCATCTTGTCTTGAATTGTATTGTGATTGTAATGTCTGCCCTATATTGTAAAGCGCTGCGCTATATAAATCCTGAATAATAATAATAATAATAATAATGTTGGAGGTGGAAAGGGCAATGTTACAAAGAGGTGAGTCTCAGACTGGGGCAGGGCCCATGACAGCCTGAACTCAGAGAAAATGAGTTGAATGATGACGGCAATCATTCAGCATGGAATAGGGAGAACATCTAGTGGTGGCAAAGAACTACTGTGGTGGACAGCTCTGAAATGAAGATGTTGCAGCAAAATCTTTTTTTTTTCTTTTTTTTCATGGGCTTTTAATGGGCTATTATTTTTTACTGGTGTTCTCCTTTAAGAGTCTGGGATGTTGCATTTCCATCTCTGAGAAGTAATCACCATAGGAAGTTTATAAAAGAAATAATAAATGACAGGTCAGAAATTATATTAAAAAATTGCACCCCTGGTGATTAAAAAAAAAAAGAAAGAACCTTTATTATGGGCAAGTTGTTAGTATAGATTGTCTCCATAACCTCTAGTCAACCCAAAAGTAAAGACCCTCAACAAAGACAAAAATATATATATTTTACTGTCTTCTCAATACTATTACAGTGAAGTCCCAGACAGAAACTTTTCGTTTTAAATATAGAGAATAAGAGTTACCTCCACTGCCATGTTGTATTGCTGCCTGTGACCCCCTAGGTAGATTTCCCCTCAGTTTATGTCCTGGTTCAAACCAGACCATTGCTGTGAATTGAAAAGCTTTATTTATTTATTTATTAATTCAACATGCCCTATTCCTAATTCATTGTCACAGTTTATTTAACATTCTATGTATTAGCGTGAAGTGGATATCTTTCCACTTTGACATGACAAGCTTTGACCACCTTGGCCATGACCACTTTGACATGACAAGCTGAAGATGTGAGGGTCATCTAAGAGAGCACAAGAAGGAAGTAGTGACTGCATGTCTACAGTATTGGTAGTACCTCTCCCTCTGTCTCTTTCTATCCCTCCCTTCCTTGCCAGAAGAAGTGGCTGTATGTTTGCTTCAAATAGCATTGCCGGTGTTATAAACCAGTTTCTAAGAAAAAAATTGATATCTATTTTATGGTCTTGTCCATCGTTAAAATTATCCTAATCTACCACCGAATTGGGCACCTCAGCACTACGTTCTACGGTTACTCTCTCCCTGTTCCTATATGGTAAAAGTCACACTCCCTGTCTCCAGTGGACATTGCCTTTGTCTATTGGTAACTGACTGCTCACTCCTGCAATGCCAGGTGGCACAATAGAACTGTGTGCCAGCAGGAAGCGAGTCACTTCAAGTTAGCTCTTTGACTGGCTGAATAGATTTTTGAACATGGTGAGATGGACAATAGGAAGCAGCACAGTGGATAAACAGTGGTTCAAAAGGTTAGGCCCCATGAGGCTGTCTTCTAGCCTCTTGTGTTTTTCTGTATTTGTCAAACCATATACATATATATTTATATATTCTCTGCATACTTCTATATATTTTGTTCAGCAGGAAATAGGGCAGGATTGCTAGCTCATTGCATTTATCAAAGCTTGCAATCTTAACATCCATTACAGCTCTGACAACGTAATTAATTCCAGTCAATCAATCATGGGACAAGAACGCACAGGTGACCTCAATATAACACATAATCCGCAGCCAACTAGTCACAACAGCGCTGAGAGAATTCCCTCAGAAAGGGGGATGAAGCCAGCCGTGTGTGGCTGAGAGAAACCTAGCTTGCGCAAACCCATCGTCTGTGATCTCTCGGGGAGATGAAAGACCTCTGACAGGCTGGATTACACAGAACAATTATGTGTGCTGAAATCACAGGGAATCGGCTTTCAGACATACCTAATCATTGCCAATTAGCTGCGTCTTTTTGACATGTTAGAGGAACCGTGCCAGAAACTGCATGTAAGGGCTTAGGACTCTCTTAACCCTTTAATTTGCACATATCAAGACAATGAGAGGTGTTGCACTGTTTGGGTAAATCTTCCACAACAGACAAAAGGCCTAATGAACAAAGGTTGTTGTGGAAATAGAAAGCAAAGGACCTAATATTGTTGTAGGTAACTAGTGGTTGGAAAAGCTATTCTGCCACCCAATAATACAAAATATTTCTCCTTTTCTTTTTCTTCCCTTCCCTTTTTCACAATTCGGACCATTATTGTAACCATTATACCCAATGGTACACTCCCATTATTTAATAGGCCTGATGTTGTTTGTATTAGGGTCATGCAACAGATTTACAAATGTGTTAAATCGTATGAGCAAAGCGGTATTCAGGCTTATAGTGTGTCATTTAGTAAAAAAAAAAGGTGTGAAAATGATTGTTCTGCGAGATAGAAGAAATACACACCAGCAACCCTTTCCCTAGCCTTCAGCTACCATGCCACCAAAATGCAAGTAAAAAAATGAGAGAGGGGAAACTCCCATCTCCCTCCTCCTACATAGACTGGGTTTCAGCAGTTAACACTTAAGGTGCCCATACACTGGTTGAATTTCTGCCTTTTTTTAATGTACCGGCCACGGGCTGAACAAAAAAAATTGATAGGTGTATGGCCAGCCTCATCTCCCAATATACCCACTCACATATATAAGTAGAGGCTGCCGGGCCAAATTTGATAAGATGTGGTCAGATGAGATCACTTGACCACTTTATACTGACTACCCTCCTTCCCCATAGGCCTCCCACCCTTTTGGACTCCACTTGATGCATACATCTTCCTCACTCCCTGTTTCACTCAAAGCCATCCATTCTGAGAAATAAAAACTCACACCAGATACCCAGTGGTATCATAACTCTTATTATGCTGCATGGTATGACTGTAAAGTGTAACCCCATTTTGTTTCCTACCTTAACTGTATACACAGCTAGTGCTGTTGTTGTTTATGTTTGTATTATTTTAGTTTTTATTAATGTACCTTTAACAAAAAACAATCATGGAGCAAATACTGTATAGTACATTGCCATTTTATGACATTAAGCCTGGAGGTATGTTTTGGGTCAGTATCTGACTAACAGGATGCAGACCAGAGGGTAGTGCATGGTGCTGAAAAATGTTGTGGTAGGCCTTTTAGTTTACCGTGCCAGTCACACTAAGTTGTTGATGCTGGATTCAGCTAAGGGGCCCCAGATAATCACATTTCCTCTTTTATGTTTGACAGTTGGTGTTACACACTAAGGGACCATCCATTCACCTAGTCTGGTGTGGTGTACAAATATACTGACAAATTCAAATTTTGATTCATTGCTTTACCAGACCTCCTTTTGGTCTTCAGTAGTTCACTGGCAGTGGTTTCTGACCTAGACAAGCCTTTTTTTAAAACATTTTGTTATTTTAGCAATTGCTTTCTAAAAGCCACTTGAACCGTCAAACCTGCAGTTCAAATAGAGCCCTTTTGATGGTGTTGAAAACTGTACTCATTGACACCTTGGCTTTCTCTAAAATAAAGGCCTACACATTTTAAGATTATAACGGTCTGTCTGTTTTACTTTGGTAACTGTCTTTTTATCACCTTTATAGGAGTGATATAATACTTTGTGCAGTACAATATTGTTCAAATAATGATGGTGTACACAGTTTGTTCTAACACTGCTTTTATACAGAGGGTTTATAAGTAATCAATAAAAGTCAGAACACATGTAGGCATTGTTTGCCTGAACTTTCAAGGTTTAATTTACTTCCACTGCTGCAGAAGAGCTGCACATATATGGGAACCTGAACTTTTTTTAATATACAGTATATGGTATATAGTAGATATAAATATATATAGAGATAAATACAAATTATGGAATCATAGCTATTTAAACCCATTCTCCAAAGAGACAGTGCTATCAGTGAGACATTCTTAGTAGGTTAAACCAAGACCTAGCATTACAACCTCGTGATAAAGCCCCACTCTACTCTGACTGCAATATGACCACATATCACCAACTACTGCAGTGATTAAACCTGGACTCAGAAATCTTTGTGACACTGGCACTTGAAGACAAGTCTATAGGGCTTGTGCAGACGACTGGTTATAGTTCAACACCACAGCACTTATACCCAACAATGAACTGACCAAGGACATGTTAACACTTCTAAGTGGTATCTAAATAGCCGCATGGCCCATAAAAATAAACGTGTACGTGCAAGAATGCATTCACAGTTGGTGACCTGTGGGTAGCTCTTATACATATAGAGACTGTACAATCTTGCTTCTTGTAGAAGAAGTGTTCTAGGATCTTTGATTTGTTTAATGAAGAATGTTACACTTGCATGCTTTAAGCAAGAGGATTTCAGGAATTCTCACTTGATTTACTATAATTAAAGGAGAACTATGGGGTCAGTGTTTTTCCCCATAGTTCTCCTTAGGGTAACGGGAGGACACAAACTAGCGTCCTCCCGTTACCCTAAGTTCAGTATACCGCGAGCTACATTGGAAATCACTCATCTCATAGTTCTCCTTTAAAGCAGAACTAAAAACAAAAAACAAACGTGAGGGCGCAAGGCTAGGGGGACTATGAAACTGATAGTAGCACAGTGGAGAAACCAAGAGGAGATGGTTCACTTACTTTAAGAGGGTCTCGGGAGCGGATGGATGTGACAGTGTCCCCGTGTCCCCGCTGAAGCAATGTGAAGTGCCAGTGATGTCTGGCTGGGCTGCAGTTGCGGGTGGAGGAACTCGGGCTGTGAGATGGACGTGTCTGGGCCAGTGTCCGTGCCGTGGTGATGATGCAGGATGGAGAATCGGCCGGGATGGTGGTAAGGTGAGGAAGGATCAGGTTGGTGAGGTAGTGGGTGGAAGCTCGGGAGCAACGCGTTTCGAGGATGTTACCTCTTTGTCAAGCTCATTAGGAATGGTGAGCTTGACAAAGAGGTAACATCCTCGAAACGCGTTGCTCCCGAGCTAAAATGGTTTAACCTTTTAGATTTTCTTGTTTTTCCTACCTAATACATTGGCTAACGTAATACTTCAGTTCCATAACTGGTTCAATCTCCAAGGAAATATGATTTTCTGCTGTTGCTGAAAATGTGACCCATGACCCACCGTGCATTCATTTCTAAATACCAATAAACCAATCTCAGCAGCCAATGAAAAAAAAGAGGGAAAAAGACAGTCAACAGTAGAAAATTAGATTTTATTATCCCTTGTTACTTCTGACTCTTGCAGTGAACAATGTTAACCTAAGGAAATACTGGGGTGTTATTCTTTCCTGTCCTGAAGTATAAATGACCCGCTGAGCAGTGGTAGCAGTTTGTGGAATCATAACACATCTTGATATACAAACTGTTAAGTTTCATGGCCAATACATTTGGCTCCAATCATGAATGGACTTTGAGGAGCTAACATAGCATAGAGTAGCCTAGGGGTTGTTAGGGGTGGGCAAACTGTTAACCATTAGAATGAGGTTAACTGATAAAGTAAATTTTCAGCATTAAACGAGAACTATGGGGTTAAGGCTTTTCCCCATAGTTCTCCTTAGGGTAATGGGAGGACACAAACTAGCGTCCTCCCGTCACCCTAAGCGCAGTATACCGCGAGTTGTAGCTGTAGTAGTATACTGAGTAGTATACTGAGACGCCACAGTATACCGCAAGCTACTGCTCGCGGTATACTGAGACGCCGCAGCGGATCCCGACAATTATGCCGGGATCCGCCCAGCTGCGTGTAGCCGCAGCTGATGTACCCGCCCCCCTCCCCCTTCCGTTCCGCCAGTCAGCACTGGCGGATCGGAGTGGGGAGTGGGGAATCCAGCCCTCCCCTGTCACGGCAGAGAACTGTGACAGGATCGGGTGGTGAGCGAACACGGGTATGTGTTCGCTCACTTCCCGATCTACTGAGCCGACCGGTGACAGTCTCATTGTCACAGGTCGGCTAGAACTATGAGGTGAGTGAAAAGCACTGACCTCATGGTTCTCCTTTAAGTTAAAGATGGTTTGAGTGTGTTAATTTTCTACTGTTAATGTTGAGGAATGATAGATTTAAGTGTTAGGTAGTGTGAAGTTGGGGAGCTCACAGAGCACTCGCACCGCGGGTTTTGCATAAAACCAAAAGCTTTTATTTTCCTCTTGCGGGGCAGCCAAAAATGGTAAACACAAATATATGCTTATCTTCGGAAAACTCAAAGCAAAAGTCCAAATCTTTGGCACAGATAACAAAACATAAAGATGTCTCACCGACTTGTTGTTTAAAAGTCCCAAACCTGGGGAAATTCCTTCCCAGGAATATTAGCCCTGCAGCACAACAGCACAGTAGGTATCAATCACAATAGCCACAGCTGATCATGTCCTCCTCAACTCCCACACTCCTCTCTGAGAGTGGAAGACCTTTAACCACTTGCTGACCGGGGTGTTTACACCCCCTTCCTGTCCATGCCATTTTTCAGTGTTCAACGCTGTGGTACTTTGACTGACATTTATTCCGTCATCACAGATAGAGCTTTCTTTTGGTGGTATTTAATCACAACTGGGGGTTTTATTTTTTACTATATAATGAAAGAAGTACTGAAAATGTGGAAAACAAAAACGTTTTCCCTACGTTATGTTATAAAACAGTTATTATTATCCAAATTTTTGGCAAAATATAAAAGTCGGGGTCACGTCGGGTAAATAGACACCAAACATGTTAAGCTTTAAAATTGCGTGTGTCCGCAAACTCGCAAAAACTACCATACCCAAAATTGGCCATAGGCGACGCTTTAAAAGCTTTTACCGCTCATCAGTTTAGTGCGGCGTAATGGATGCAATAGTTGTTTACGCACTTAGGAGCTCTCAACGCATGTTTGCATGTTTATGTGGGGGGCGGGGGTCTTAAAAAAAAAATTGGTGGGAGGTGGGTTATTACTTTCCGCCCAGCTTCCTGATTGCCCGGGAAGCAGGCTCCATGTTCCCCTATGACACGGAAGTTCCGGTATCTGAGCATTTGGGCGAGTACGAGTACTCGCCCAAATACTCAGTATCGGCACCAATACCGATAGTAGTATCGGTATCAGTCATCCCTAGTATATATGCTTGTCTTTATTCACATGGAATAAATGTTATTTCACTTAGAGGTGGCGCTCTGTTTATGTTTTTATCTGCATGTGTTCTGGGTATCCCTGATCCCTGATCCCTGTGAGGAGCAGCCCTCAAAAGTGAGACAATCTGTCAAGGTTGAAGGATCGCTGAGGCTCCATTAGTGCTGAAATCAAGACTTTATTTTGATCCTTCTTATTGTGACTCCGATTGTTGTATTAGCGATTTATCCCTTGCTGAGACCCCTATGCCTGGCCTGTATAAGCAGATATAATCACTGCGGACAATCCTTATCAGATAGCTGAACTCACCAAATACCTTCTCCATCCACAAAGGTGCTTTATTCTGTACATCAGGTTACAGCAGAGAACAGGATATAGCAGATGAATGAATTAGCTGTATTTAAGGCGGTCAAAGATGATAATGTTTCCAAGCATGCAATGCAGATTAACATGTGGTCCTGTTACAAGCAGCCATGACACTAGGCACTGAGCAAGAAGGGGAAATACATAATAGATGGGAGGGAACACAGAAAACATGTGCAATAACCAAGTGTAATAACTAGAATGACCACAAGATGTCAGTATATGAACTTAGCCATACAATATCAATAAGTCAACGGCTTAAGGAAAATAAACTATATAAATTCTCATCTAACATCTGTATGAATATTAACCATGACTATGAACTGTCATATGCTATGCAACTACTGTGGCAGCACACTTCTGATCTACATGTGTATGACCCAGCTTGATCTGACCCTGCTATTCCTTGCTGCTGTTTCGTTACCATTTGAACTCTGATCTACACATGTGTGACCCGGCTTGTCTAGACTTAGCTTTTGCCTTCAGGCCCGGATTCCCCACAAGGCCACCGAGGCCGGCCTAGGGCGGCAAGGCGCAGAGGGGCGGCAGCGGTGTCCTTGTGGGGAAGTTGCCCTCTCTACAATTAGTCCTGCTTTGCGCAAGCAGGTCTAAATGTAGAGTGAGGCAGCTGATTTTTCGTTTACATCTGAACTCAGCGATGTCGCCGAGATCACTCCTGTATTGGAGGTGACAGGGTCAATAAAGAGAACCTGTCACCTCCAATTGCTATCACACATGGTATTGTTTTCTTCTGTGTGATAGCAATAAAGTTAGGTGGGAAAAAAAATTACATTGATAAATAAAAAACAAATTTAACCGCTTGAAGACCAGGTGTTTAGACCCCCTTCCTGGCCAGGCCATTTTTCAGTGTTCAGCGCTGCAGTACTTTGACTGACATTTATTCCGTCATGCAACACTGTACTGAAATGAATTTTATACCATTTTTTGGGGACAGATAGAGCTTTCCTATGGTGGTATTTAATCACCACTGGGGTTTTTATTTTTTACTATATTCAGGAGAAATTACTGAAAATTTAGAAAAAAAAGTTTTTTTGTACATTATATTATAAAACAACTAATATTACCCACTTTTAAAACATAAAAGACAGGGTCACGTCGGGTACACCAAACATGTCAAGCTTAAACATTTCACACACTTGCGACATCGCAAAAAACTAGCATACCCAAAATTGGCCATAGGCGACGCTTTAAAAGCTTTTACAGCTCAACAGTTTAATGTTATCAGTGATTGATGGCCCTAGAACTATTGCTCTCATTCCGACGTTCGCGGCGATATGTAACATGTGCGGTGTAATGGGTGCAATCGTCGTTTTCGCAGGTATGCGCACCTGATGCATGTTTACATGCGTGTATGTAGGGGTGGGGACTTTAAAAAAAATGAATTCTTTTTTATGTGTAACTTAAAAAAAAAATTGGGGGGGAACTTTAAATTTTTTTCCTATTTTTTTTCCACTTAACTTTATTGCTATCATTAAAAAGAAAAAAATAAAGAACAAATTATTAAAAAATAAGAAAATAATTATAAAAAATAAACAATAAGATAAAAAGAAATTAAAAAAAGTAAATAAGATAAATAAAAATCTAAAAAAAATTACATTGATAAAAAAATAATTAAATGAAAAAAATAAATAAATAAAAAAATAAAAAGTGATTAAAAAAATAAAGAAACGGTAAAAAAAAATTAAAACTAACCCTGCCGCCCTGCCATCTGGTTGCCATTCTCCATTGATGGGAAGGGGTGGGGGGGTTGGCGCGGCGCACGGCGGGGCGTATTGCGGAACCTGGCCTTGGGGCGGCACGGAGCGTAAATCAGG